GACTTCCAGTGTTGGAGCATTCACAGCTTTTGGAGGCAACTGATTAATTGTTCTTTCAGGAAATTTCTCCTCAGTTCTATGTTGCTTCTCTCCTTGATTAGTTTCCACCCATTGCTTTTTGTTCGACCCTCAGGTGCTTTGGAAAACAGATTGACCCCTTCTTCTTTGTGGCAGCCCCTGAGATATTGGATCACTGCTATCATGTCTCCCCTAGTCCTCCTTTTCATTAAACTAGACATACGCAGTTCCTGCAACCGTTCTTCATATGTTTTAGTCTCCAGTCCCCTAATCATCTTTGTTGCTCTTCTCTGCACTCTTTCTAAAGTTTTTACATCGTGGCAATCAAAACTGAAGTCAGTATTCTAAGTGTGGCCTTACCAAGGGATTTTATATGTGTATTTAGCTTATAGAAAAACCATGAGATATAATGCAATATTGATTGTAACAACAGAAAGCAAGTACAGTGTCTGAAATTTTGTACATAAGAATGGCTCTGATTTGTTGCATCTTCTCATAGGAAAACAGAAGGAAGTTCTTTGCATTGAATGTCCTTTGCCCGCAAGTAATTGTACAAAAGTTAGTAATCACTTAAGGGGGGGGGGTCTTGATGAACTCAGTGTCACAGAGCATTGCAGGCTTTGGTGCTTTCCAAAAACTGTGGTTGCATTGTTCCGCCATGTATGAAACATGAAGGATCACTGGCAATGTGGATTTCTAAAAATCTTGTAGGAATGCAACAATGGAACTAGGTATCAAATACAATTTGAAGAGAGTTCTGTGTTTGTTAGCTTTGTGCTAAGAGATGGGGACATTTTATTTTCTTGTGGTTTTATAAATACACTTCTGTTCTTCACCCACCCACGCCCACCTCGAACATGAACTTTGATCAAAAGGCAGTTCAGTATGCATCTTCCTCTCTGTCTTCTGAGGAAGATAAAGAGCCTTTCTTGTTCTTTTTCTTTAATCTCTATCAGTTCAACAATTGGTTCTCTGCTGCTTTCATTACCATTGTTTCACCTGTGCTCATTTATGTCTATGGAGATTTTCAGTCATCCAGATCATGGTTGTCCCAAAGATGCTTTTTTCAAGAGGCAACTGAACTTTCTGGTTTATTTTTTTCTTTAAAGATGTTTCGCTTCTGCAGCTCTGACTGGATAGTGGGGAATGGAAGGATTTATACTCTTTACCTTGAAACAGTTCCAAGAAGGCTCCACAATTATTTGCACCACTCAGGTGACCCTGAGGACACAGATACACCCACCCACCCCGGTTTATTAGCAACTAGCTAAAAGAATGCAAATGATCAGCTGTCTGCAAGGAATATAAATCCTTCCATTCCCCCACCATCCAGTCAGCACTGAAGAAACTTCTTAGATGAGAAGCGAAACATCTTCAAAGAAAAAAACCAGACAGTCCAGTTGCCTCTTGAAAAAGCACCTTTGGGACATGTGCTCATTTAGTTATTAAATTTATATTGTACTCTTGAGCAACTCTTGTACATTTATTATGATAAGTTTAAGTGATTTAAGAGCCACTTATCTCCCGTAGTTCCCGCTTCTCCAGTAAGATGATGCAGAGTGAGTGTACTTCAGCTCCCTTTGATTAAACAGCATCAGGGTTCTGGGAAGTAAATCATGTCACCCATAGCATCTGTCTTCTAGAACAGGGGTCTCAAACAGGCAGCCAGTGGGCCGGCTGTGTCACATGCAGGCCACATCCACCCCAGCTGTGCAAAAGGGGAAAACAAGTTGCAATACGTCACGTGATGGCAACATGACACAGCGAGTTTGACACCCATGTTCTAGGACATCATCATCCAAGAGACTGATATGCAGTGGTGGGATTCAGTCAGTTCGCACCACTTCGGGAGAACCGATTGTTAACTTTCTGAGCAGTTTGGCAAACTGGCTGTTGGAAGAAATAATTAGGGTAGAGAACCGGTTGTTAAATTTCTTGAATCCCACCATGGCTCCTACCTTGATAACGCCCTAGAAACCCCTGAAAGTCTGGCTGTTCTTCCAATAGCAATAGTACTTATATGCACTCCATCGTGCTTTACAGCACTCTGGATGATTTCTACACTGTGTGCACAATTATTAGGAAAGTTGTATTTTGGAGTATTATTTTTACTATTGAACAAAAATACAGTGTTCTTGGTCAATCCAAAATATTAATAAATCTCAAACCTGAATATTTAAGAAAGTAAAAGTCAGGTTTTGGCTTTGTTAGGAGAATATATGTGCGCAATTATTGGGCAGCTATTAGTGTGCAGAAATGTTATGCAACTAAATGAAAAAACAAAAATTTGCCCATCTCACTCATTTATTTGCATCGGTTAAAGTGAGAATAATAAACAAACAACTCAAAATGTACAAATAAACATTTCTGACATTAAAAAAAACCAGTGATCAATATAGTTAACCCTTCTTTTCAATAGCAGTCATAACTCTTCCATCATGGAGTCTGTCAGTTTCTTGATCTGTTGACGATTAACTTTTTGTGCAGCAGCAGCAGCCACAGTCTCCCAGACACTGTTCAGAGAGGTGTACTGTTTTCCTTCACCATAAATCTCCCATTTAATAAGGACCCACAAGTTCTTAATAGGGTTTAGGTGAGGTGAGGAAGAGGGCCATGTCATTATTCTTTCATCTTTAAGGCCTTTATTGGTTAGCCATGCATTGAGGTGGAGCATTGCCCTGCATAAAAATCATGGTCTTCTTGAAAGACTTTTTCCTGTATCACTGCTTGAAGAAAGTGTCTTCTAAAAACTGGCAGTAGATTTGGAAGTTGATTTTGGGTCCATCTTCAACCCGAAGAGTGTTGTGGCCATCCAGCGGATCTGGCAGCAGATTCAGACAATGAGGAGGTTGGGGAGGAACATGGGCCAGTCCTAGAGTCTGGGGAAGGCTCTGACGAGGGCTCTGCATCAGAGGCAGAGAGGGGGCCAAGGCTGTCTGACAGTTATCAGGTTCCTTCGGAGTCGGACATCTGTGGGGCAGAAGAACAGCTGGAGACTGTTCCCAGTGTGCACATGCACAGAGCTGCCAGGAGAAGGAAACAGCTAAGAAACAAGGGTCGATGGTAAATGGCCCCTACCATAGGAAATAAAGAGGAGCAAAAGGGGAGGGGAGTTTGCAGGAGGCAATTAGTTCAATTCATTAGAGTGAAGATCTGTTCCTGACCTTGCCATATAATTGCTGCTACAGAGTGGCGTTTGGAAGATATCGGCCTGGCAGTTCTCAAGCCTTATAAAGGTCTGTAGTTGTGAAATCTCTTGAAAGACTGTTGGCCGGGACTTTGCTGGAGAGGAATTCACTTTAAACTACTGTATTTTTGGAGTATAAGACCAGAGGTGGGTTCCTACCAGTTTGCACCTATTCGGTAGAACCGGTTCATCAAATCTACCAAACCGGTTAGAAGAGGTTCCACCAATGGACCCAGAAAGCAGGCCACACCTACAGAAGAGGTTCCAAACTTTTTTGAAACTCACCACTGGTCCTTGGATATGATTATTCTACACTATCATGCTCATATTTATAAAACTCAGTGCCTCTGTGAAAGGTAAGGATGACTACTGAGTTTGTGGTGGAATCAGAACATTGCATGTGTTGAAGTTGTTTTAACGCAAACCAAAGATGCCTTTTAAAAAACAAGTCTACATCATATTCTTTTGCATGCCAGTGCTGTGTGTAAGGTAATTTAAGGTGATTCTGACAAGTGTCATCAGCATCTTCATATCCAGTCACATGGGCAACAAGCCACTCCCACAAAGGAGGCCACACCCACAGAGTAGGTTCGAACAATTTTTGAAACCCACCACTGTATAAGACGCACACTTTTTCCTCAAAAAAGAGGCTGGAAATCTGGGTGCTTCTTATACACCGAATACAGCATTTTTTGCCTCTCGAAGCCCCGCCCCCTTCACCAAAATGGCCGTGTATAGCCTTTTGGAGGCTTTCAGAGAGCTCCTGGGGACTGGGGAGGGCAGAAATGAGCAAAACACCAGCTGTTTTTGCCCCCCCCCCCCCCAGCAGGACTCTATAAGCCTCCAAAAGGCTATGCATGCAATTTTTTAAACAAAAAATGAGCCCATTTTCATGAAAAATGGGCCTTTTTTTGCTCATTTTTGCCCCCCCTCAGGAGCACTCTGCTATTCATGCCTTTTGGGGGGGGGAACGGGCCCCTTTTCATGAAAAACAGGCCAGTTTTGGGAGTTTTGCAGAGTGCAAAAACTTTTTTTCCTACCTACAGACACACTCTCTCCCCTACCTACTACTGTATTTCTCTCTATCTCTATTTCTCTCTCTTTATCCCTCTACCTACCCACCTACACACACACACACACACTCCCTACCTACCTACTGTATTTCTCTTTCTCTCTATTTCTCTCTCTCTCTATCCCTTTATCTACCATCCATCTGCTCCGTCAAGAGTCACTCTCATCTCATCAGTCCATAAAACCTTTGAAAAAATTGTCTACAGACATTTCTTGGCCCAATCTTGTTGTTTCAACTTATGTGTCTTTCCGGTAGGGAAATTAAGTGAATACCACCCCTATTCACAGCCATACATTGCAATTGGGAAATATAAGCCAAGTTTTTAACACAGATTGGGTGAAAAGGGGACAAAGTAGTAACAAAGAAGGCATGCCTCAGGGAGCGGGGTGGGGGGACAACATATTGAAATCTATTAAAACCTCCTTCAATAATTATTTTTAAATGTGAGTGGCAAAATGAGAGGGGGGACGCTTGTAACATTCAGAAAGGGAATTTGGAATAAGGAAGTGAAAGTTTATTTGACAAAGGCTTGGAATATCACATGTGTGCAACGGAAGATCAAGGAGAACATGCTGAGCTGAGAGATTCAATAGCTTGCCTTTCTAATATGACTCTGTTATTATTTAGTAGAAGTGTCAGGTGATCTGCAAAATACATAATATAAAAGTTCCTATCCACTTATGTTAGAGTAACCCGCCAAATGTTTTTGTTTGAATTTTGCAGATCACAGAATATGCCCTCCTTGGCGTTGGACTGTTCTATGGCTTTCCTGTACTGGGAATGTTCTCTTGATGGCGGCTGTGATAGTGATGGGGGTTTATGGTAAGTATTGTAGGAGGAGAGAGCATGACGAAGCTCCATAAGTAAGAATCAAATGTACTGAGCAGACACCCAAAGATTCAAGAATTAAAAGGATCCCTTCTCATAGAAGCATCCAGAGCGGGATGGAGCCCATTAAGTAACTCGCGTGAGATGCTGTCGCCGAGGCGGGGGTGGGGTGGGGTGGTAAATTTATTATTTTAATTTAGTATATAATTCTTCCTTTATTAGTGTTATTGTTTTTAATATGAGGTTTTATATTTTGTAAGCTGCCTTGTGCCGCCATCAGAGTTGGAATTCAGCAGGTTCTGACCAGTTCTGGAGAACCAGTAGCGGAAATTTTGAGTAGTTCAGAGAACCAATAAATACCACCTCTGACTGGCCCCGCTCCAATCTATTCTCTGCCTCCTGAGTCCCCACTCATCGGGAGGGAGGGAGGGATTTTGCAGTAACTGTCCCCTGGTGAGAATGGCGATTTTACAGTACCCTTCCCCCGCCATGCCCACCAAGCCACGCCACACCCATCAAGCCACGCCCACAGAACCAGTAGTAAAAAATTTTGAATCCCACCACTGATTGCCATGTGTGAATAGGCAGCAATATAAATTCTATAAATGAAAGAATGAATGAATGAATAAAAATAGGACAGTCAAGGCAGGATATCAATAAAATAATAAAGCTTGTGAGAGGCTATCAAAAAGTGATAAATGGAGTCTTAGTACTGGTTGAATATTATTATGCATCCCTGGTAGAATCCAGATGGGACTCTCTTTATCCAGAATACAATATCTGTGATATTGTGCACTTTTAATTATGTAACTATAATTCTGGCTTAATATTTTATAGGCCTGAGGTGCATTTCCTCAGTAGGCTCTCAAAACTCCCAGGAAATGACCGGAATTTCAAATGCACATCAATGCAAACAAGATGAAAACAAAACAAATAAAGAATTAGAAAAACTCCGGACTTTTCTAAGGCAACATTTGTGTGAGGCTACAAATGCATCTACAGGTAACTCTTTCTATTTTTAACTGAAATGTTCCTGTGACCCTTGTTACTATTTCTCAGAATTTTTTATCTTCAAATATATCTGTCATCTCTTATTGTTAACTGATCATTTATTTGCATTTCTAGATTGCTTATCAACCTCAAGGAGGCATCATCATCCTACTTTTGTTTCCTCCTCCACCCCCACCCCCACCCCCACCCAACTCTTATAGCTTTCATGCATGGCCTGCTGAACTACACTCTATCTACTCGGATAGAGTAGGATTTTTATTTATTTTATTTATTTAGTTTGTCACTCATGTACAAGATATCAGGAATAGGAATAAACATGAATAAGAAGACAGGAAATAGGTACAAATAAATGGGGACAGTAGGACAGGGATGATAGGCACGTTGGTGCACTTATGCACGCCGGACCTCTTAGGAATGAGGCGAGGTCCATGGTTGACAGTTTAAGGTTAAAGTTATGGGGTTTGAGGATGTAACAACAGAGTCAGATATTGCATTCCAGGCATTGACCACTCTGTTGCTGAAGTTGCATTTTCTGCAATCGAGTTTGTATCTATTGTGTGCTCGTCTATTATTGCGGTATATAATATTGTGTATTTGTGCGGATCCACTAACATTTAGGCAGTGATAAACTGCTAAACCTTGAGGGAGTCACCAAACACAGAAAGACAAACAGAGGGAAGGAGAGAAATCTCATAGCTATGTTGATGTAGTTCAGAGTCCAGGATTCTGAAGATGAAGTGGAGGAAATCAATAGGCCTTAATCTGCCTTTCTAGTCCTTCAGAGCATTTGCAGGGGTGAAGGATCCTTATGCCTGCAGGCACACTAAGCCATGGATTTCAGACCCCTACCTTGGACCTAGTGAAGCTGACTATCCATAGCGACTTGGTGGTCTACTTCAACCACCTCACAGTTGTAAATAATCCCAGTGATTTCAGACTTGAAAATGCAAAACCTATGCTCAAAAGTGGAAGGAAATATGAATTCCCATAATTGGGAAAAATGGATTATGAAATTAATGGAGCTGGAGAAGAAGACAAAATTGATTACTTTAATTAAAGTTAACAATTTGTCTGCTTTTCTGGAAACCCTTTTGGGCTTTTTACTTGATAAAGAGAAAATTGAAGTTTTGGCTTTGAGATCTGATAATTAGATATGTTTTGGTTATATAAATCTTGTATAATGTTGTCTAATTTTAAAGGATGTTTTATTTTAGATTTTTATTGTAGAAATATCTAGTAACAATATGTTTTGGTATTGATAATATCAAGCACTTATAAGCTTATGTTTAATTCAAATGAAGATTAAATTATATATTGTTGCTGTTATTAGTTAATTGTTTGGTGTGTATATCTTTATAGTTTTATATTGTTTTTTGTTAAACTAAAATAAGATTGTATTTTATTATATGTTTATACTGAAGAGAGATGGAACTAATCTTTTTTAATGTTATTTTTGGTGTGTATTTTTTCTTATGTCACTTTGAAACTTTCTCTGCTGTTCTCCTCTCCCACCTTTCCTTTTTGTTGTAATTTTATATATTTTAACCTTTTTGTGTTATAAATTTAATAAAGTTCTTTTTTAAAAAAGAAAATGCTAACCTATGCAAAGTCACTATGAAAAATTGAATGAATAACCCTGGGAGGAGGAGCCAACGTCGCAATGATACGGAAGTGTGCTCTGATACTGCAGCTGATACTTTTTGCTGCTGGGTGGTCCAATTGGACCTAAACCGTCCCGCAGAGACGGTGAACAGGAAGAATACTTCTTGCTGATCTCAGGGACATCGCAAAGTCCCTGATCGATGCAAGAAAAGTTCTTCAATCCAGCCAAGGCTGATGAAGTCTGGGTGGCTCCAAAATGGAAGGATACGGAAAGAGAAAGTGTTTCCAGCTGGTGAGAAATTTTTACCGTTTTAAAAGAGACTGCCTATAAAAAACTTAAAATTAATTTAAATTGGAGAACAGAAGAAATAAGCAGTGGAATTAAGTTTGGAATGGTTTTGGACAGTGGGTTATTTTACTTTTTAAATGCTATGTTCATGGATGGAATTTATGCAAGCCTTTTAATATGAATGGATTAAGTTTTCTTCTTCTATTTTTTTTCTTTTATTATTCTTTGTAACCTATGGACTAAAATTCTCCTCTTTCATTACTGTGGGTGTTTTTCTAACTCATTCAAGAATCGGACCATTTTTTAAACTTGAAATACAAAATATATACAAAAAGCAACAAAGAAAATTGCAACAATAACACTGCTACTTAAAGCCTGGAGGTTTGTGCATTGGAAACGAAACACTTTTACTTTTCTTACTGATTATCCTGGCTTGGCACTCCAAGATCTCACTGCTGGTTTATAGAGAGTGATAAGAAGAAAAGCATACAGATGTCCCTTTGAAGTATATCTTTAACCAGAGAAAAGTGAAAATAAAACTTTATTGTGAATCTATGCTTAATCTTGTAAAAACCTTCCAAGTTAAAGCAACAGTGTTTGTTAGCTGGACATAATGGCACAACTTCAACAGCAGAAAGAAACTTTAAGCCTGCAAAATATATTCTTAGAAATGCAGAAATTATCAAACACATTTGAGAGGATGGAGAAGAAGTTGGAAGACTTAGAGCATCTAACAGTAAAATGTGATGAAGAAGTTGGAGATGTTTATCAAGTGGAAACCGTGGAGGTTAGAATCCTAAAAACCGAAGAGGAAAATGACCATAAAGAAATTATATCTGCTGATATTTATGGTGATTGGTTTGTTTCTGGAAATGGAAAGAGTGGAATACTGAAAGAGGAATTAAATAGAGGGGAACTCTACTCTAGATGGCAAGACACAGAAGAAGAAAAAACAAAAGAATTTATGGATTTAAAGAGAGAAATTTTATTAGCAACATCATTGATAATGCTACTGATAATTAAAGATAAGCTGATTAAGGAAACAGAAGAAGGGCATCAAAATTACATGAGAGATTTTATAAGCAAGGAGTTGCTAAGAGGAGTCCATACAAATTTGATTAAGGAGATGATTAGAGGACTGACACCACAAATGGCAGAAGACATGAGACTGTTTTGCTATTGGAAAGATACAGGTTGATAGATGGAAATGTATAATTTAAAACTAGTTAAACTTAGTGAAATTTAGTGACAATAGATATAGTTAAATAAATAATTGATAATGATAATAAGGTATACAATGTGTAGTGTTATGATAAGTAATAATTGGATATGACTATTAAATGGTTCCCATGAAAGGAAGATTAGAAAGCATTTTGGATTATATACAAAGGTTAATAAAAAAGAACTAAGTTAGATTCAGTTAAGTCTGGATTATTAGGGGGGAAATGTTATGATACAGGATATAGTCAAATAAAGGAGGGATAATGATAATGTGTGTGTGTGTGTGTGTGTGTGTGTGTGTGCAACATAAGGAAACTGGATGTAAATTGTAAACAGTGATTTGGAAAGGAGTATTAGAAAATTTTGTTGGAAGAGATGCACAAAAGTCTTTTGTAACCAACTGATACACTTTCTACAGTAAGGAAGATTTTTTGTGTTGTATTTGTTTTGAAAATTAAAAAAAAATTAAAAAATTGAATAAATAACTCTAACCCAGGAAAAATTATCCAATTTTTAAATAGGATCCTCTCCTTACCTTTCAAAGTAACTTTAAAGAGCTTGAGATATACCGACAGAGTTGAATAGAAACATGATTTTTTTAAAAAGAAAATATTTGTTTTCCTTCCTAGAGAATGGATCCTGCAGTGTGTGCCCTGTAACATGGCTTCCGTATGAGGACAAATGCTACTGGTTTTCTACTTCAGCTCAGACCTGGGACCAAAGCAATGAGGAGTGTTTGGCAAAAAGATCTCAGCTATTAGTGATTTCTAGTATAGGAGAGCAGGTAAAAGAATTTGTTACCGGTGAAGAATAATCCATAACTGTCTTATTTTTTCCATTTTAATTTTAAACAGAAAGATTTCAGGGAATGGGTTAGCATTTCCCATCAGGCTTCAGGTGATATTTCCTAAAAAGGTCTGTGCATGCACACAAAGTTAGAAAAGGAAAATAAAATTACATTTTTGTAATGAAGATTGTTCTACGCATGCACAGACCGAAAATCAAGATGGTGGCGCCAACGACAGCACCAGTTCAGGGGCGTGAAAGGCCAAGTTATTACCTACTCGGCCAAACAGGTCTGAACCCGTAGGAACCCACCTCTGCTTCACTCATAGTTGTTTCTATTGATCTTACTCCAAGGCTTATTTGTAATCTAGTCAATCCTTTTCTATCTGAAGGATAAACAGATGGGGCAAAATTCACCTGCTAAGTTTCCCCGCGGTATCAGAGGCATAATTGGCAGGAAGTTGGAGATCTGCTTGGGCAGCTAATTAATTTGGGGAAATCTAACACAAATCTAACAAACTCAGTAATAGGGAATAGTTAGGGATTCCAATAGTCATCCTTGTAATGAAGATGAAATGATATTTTACAGGAATTCATCAAAAACAATACAAAAACAGAGAGCCCTACATGGATTGGGCTCAAATTAAAATTGCCAGAGAAGAAGTGGATGTGGGTCAACGGCTCACCATTAAACCATACACCGTGAGTATTAATAACTTTCTAGTACAAAAGAAACCTTCTGTATTATAATGTTTTTGCAGCATAAAGTAAAAGAGCGAGAAAAAGTCGAGATAATATAGACATCTAGAGTCTCTATGGAATCTAAAAGCATCTTAAAATGATTATGGGGTCGGCTTTCACTTCATCAGGAAGGCACCACTTCACAAATGAAGGCAATTTTTTTTATTAATTTTTTTTTAAAATTTTAATTTAAAACAAGTACAACATCTTTCTTTACATGCTATAGAAAGTGTATCAGTNCAGCATATTGCCCCCAACAACAATCCGGGTCCTCATTTTACCCACCTCGGAAGGATGGAAGGCTGAGTCAACCCTGAGTCGGTGAGATTTGAACAGCCGAACTACAGAACTGCAGTCAGCTGAAGTAGCCTGCAGTGCTGCATTTAACCACTGCGCCACCTCGGCTCAGTGAGGTAAACTCAAGTATGCCCTGCTAAGCCATCTGGATTTGGTCAGACTTGTGCAATATAAACAACATTGAATTGTAGTGTCAACGTTCTGACTAACAAATCCAAGCAAATCAGAATGCCGAGACTCAGATCTCTCTCAAAGAACGGCTTTATTGGGTGCATCATATCAACACAATTAAATATAAAACCAAATATTTCCTAAGGTTTCCGTATACTGGATGATATTTGGAGTATAAGACACACCTGTTTTCCTCAAGAAAGAGGATGAAAATCTGGGTGTGTCTTATACACGGAATGCAGCATTTTTGGCCCCCTGAAACCCTGCCCGCTTTGCAAAAATGACCATGCATAGGAGGCCTCCAGAGTGCTTCTGGGGGTTGAGGGGGGGGCAAAAATGAGCAAAAAACTGCCAGCAACCTATAAGCCTCATAAAGGCTATGAATGCCCTTTTTCTGAACAAAAAGGACATTTTTTGCTTGATTCCCACCCACCCCCAGCCCGCAGGCACACTCTACAAGCCTCCTAAAGGCTATTCATGCACTTTTTAATTTTTTTAAAAAGGGCCCGTTTTCATGAAAAACGGGCCATTTCGGGGAGATCTGCAGAATGCAAAACCTTTTTTTTTTAAATTGCCTCTTCAAAATCTTGGTGCGTCTTATTCTTGGTGCGTCTTATACTCCGAAAAGTAATACAGTAATTAAAGTAGAAAATGATCCCCCCCCCCCCAAGTATCACAGGTCACATTGTCCAGTTGGGTTCATTGATGGGCTCCTTAGACAAGATCCTTTCCAACTTTATTCCATTACTTCTAAAATGGTTGCAGAGTCTTCACCTATACAGAGGAAAGCAGAAAAATTCATTTATCGTACGTCACATTCACATCATATTTAAGTAAAAAGAAACATGGATAAAATACAAAACCTAGAATATAAAATCAACAAATGTATATGTTATACACACACACACACACACACACACACATATATATATATTTACTTCATTTGTCGCAGACAGGAATTCATCTCCATTATGGGTTCCGTTTTGACACACAATTCAAAAAAAGGGCATTCATAGCCTTTAGGAGGCTTATAGAGTGCTCCTGGGGGCTGGGGGGGGNATCCAGGGAAATATAATATTGTGCCTTTTCAATATTTCCCATGGTATTGCATTTTTCTAGGAGAAGGGTGGGTGCTAACTTCCTACAGTTTGAAGTTATAACAGTGCTGAAAAAAGTGGTTTATCAACGGTCTTCACACATATGACCATTGCAGCCTCCACATGGTCAAAATTTGGACCCTTGGCAACTGGCATATTGCAGTGTCTTAGAGTCACTGGTGGTCATTTGTGCCCTTCTCAGGTTCCTTTCAACAAGCAAAGCCAGCGGGGAGGGAAGTCAGATTCTCTTAACCATGGTGATTTGCTTAACAACCATGACAAAAAAGTTGTAAAGTCAGATGTGAATCACTTAATGACATTGTTTAGAGGCTGAATTCCAGCCGCAATTGTAGTCCTAAATTGAGTAATTCCTTTGCAGTACAGAGTCTTTTTGAAGAAGCATGGATATACCACCTGGGAACTATATGTCACAAATGTCACACATTTAATATGATAACATTATAGGAATCTATTCTTTGTGCCAACCGGCCCCCTCCCAAGAATCTTTAATAGTGCTGTGGGGGAGGGGGAACTTCCTAATTTTTTGAAACCATATTGATGTGGGGGGGGCCTAGAGGTGAAGATGCTCGCCTCCCACTCGGAAGGTTGAGAGTTCAGTCCTAGGTAGCAACAGATGTTTCTCTCTCAGGGCTCAAAGAGAAAATATATATTATTAATTCCACATAGACATTGGGGAAAGCACCTGGCCAGTAAATACCCAGGTTCATTCTCCGACTCTACCTTGAACAAAGAGATTATAACAGTGGTGAAATTCAATTTTTTTTTACTATTGGTTCTGTGGGCGCGGCTTAGTGGGCGTGGCAGGGGAAAGATACTGCAAAATCTCCATTCCCTCCCCAGAGGTGGTATTTGCCAGTTCTCCAAACTACTCGAAATTTCCGCTACTGGTTCTCCAGAACCTGTCAGAACGTGCTGAATTTCACCCCTGGATTATAGGGTTATAAAAAGAAAAAAAAATGCTGGTCAAACATCATTTTGAAGATCTGGGAACCTGCTAGTGTTCAGGACAGCTGAGTTAATAAACGAGATACAGTCCAGAGATGCAGAAAAAATAATGATAGACAAAAGGACTGTAGAAAGAATCCAGGTTTCTGTTGTAGTTGACTAATTTAAGGATCACAGGGAAAGGATACATCACGAACCACAATTTCCTATCCTATAACGAACAAGTGGATTTGTTAAACCACAGGGGTGGGGTGGGAGCAATAAATTTCAACTTGCGGACAGCAAAACAAGGAACTATTGTATAGTAAACATGCATTTTTTGATAAAATATAACTGTTATTGCACCACCACTCCTGCTTTTCACAACAAAATTCCAGCTGCTCCAGATGGCTCGGCCTTATTACAGTGCAT